ACTTCTAAGGTGTTTTTTGTGCACCCCCCATCAACGAGGCGATGCCAGCAAGTCTCTAAATCAAGTAACAGCTGGTTCAATCATGCTTATTCCCCGTGCACTACGTCAGCAGTGACTGAACTGTGAATAGTATCGATACAAGCACCTTAGTCTACCTGTGTGCTGGGTTTGATGTCTGCCTGACACTCCTTTCCGTAAAACATGACGCTCCATAGTGGCCATGTTATTCTAAAAATAAGTTTAGTCATTAATTGAAATATGTTCATGTAACTTCAACAACTTCAGGGTGAAAGTAACTTCTCATAAGCAAGAACTCGCGTGCCTTTTTGTTAAAGCAAAGATTGTGTTAATATTTGGGGCTTCATCTACTTCAAAATAACGGATCTGGAACCAAGATGTTTTTTTTCATCTGGCTTGCTACTCTGCAAAATTAAGGGATCTGAGGTCAGAAATTCTGAGGTTTTCTGGTCAGCTGTCTACCACTGCTGCTGAGAGAACACCCAATGTGCGAAGGACAAGGGATATGCAAAGAAACTGAAAACAAGTAAATTAAATCCAGGTTGCACCAGCATGCAAGTACAGAAAAAAAGGATGAGAATAAAAGGGAGGTGGGGAGACAAGGGAGAGCCACGATTATTTTTCATAAGCTCCAAAACTCTCCAGGTACACTATAACAACAGTTTTATGAACTATTTGGAACTTATCTAAGACCCAAACGGTCCAAAAGCTGTACGAACTAGTACTCTCCAGCCAACTTGGTACTTGGCAATATTGTTTTTCTCAAGTACAATGGAAATGTTCCATCGGCAGATAGAAACCTATAAGCTTTTTCATTCTTAATAGAATCGTTTATAGTTGGGAGACAAGACACAAAATTAAGTTGATCAGAGACTCGTGCACAAGTACGTAAGTCAAGTTAATTCATTTTTGCTGGGTTATGGGACAGCACACATCTCCAACTAGGATACACAACAGGCTTTTCGTACCCTCCACGAGACTCTCAAACTTCGTTTTCTCAAAAGGCTTGTATAGATTTGGTGAAGAGTGAGCAAGGATGGCGGTGCAGCAGATAAAAACCTGTGCCAGGCCTCCAGATTCAAGACTTGGATCAGAGTTAAAATTCCAAAGAAGTCTCCCCCGCTGCCTGTCTCGTGGGAGCAGCTGTAGATAACGTACAGCAGTTGGGGAGGAAAAGGGAAGTAAACTGAGCCAGTGCAACAGGACCGTGACATTCTGCACCACCACTATAGCCTGCAGGACAGAGGCTTCCTTCACTACAGGAAGTTAGCCATGACCATTCCGGTAGGTCATTCATGGTCTCCTCTCACTTCTATGCCCTGGGAAAAAACCCGAAGTCACAGGACCGTTAGTATTTGGAGAACTTTACAAAACCCTTTGTCCCGGCTGAATTCCATGAGTAGGCAGCTCAGCACTACACGGCTGCTCACTCGCTCCCTCCCGCTGGGATGGGGAAGAGAATCCTAAGGGCTAAATGTGAACGCCCACAGACTGAGATAAAGGCAGTTTAACAGGTGAAGCGAAAGCTGCATGCTCAAGCCAAGCGAGGAGTTCATTCACTGCACCCACCAGCAGGCAGATCTTCAGCCGTCTCCAGGAAAGCAGGGCTCCATCATGTGCAACAGTTACTTGGGAAGACAGATGCTGCAACACCAAACATCCCTCCTTCCTCCCCCAGCTTATACTGCTGAGGACATCATACGGTCTGGGGTATCCCTTTGATCTGATGTGGTCCGTGGTCCTGGTTGTGTCCCCTCCTGGCTTCTTGTGCACTCCCAGCCTGCTCCCCAGCCAGGCAGCGGGAAAAACAGGCAGCCTTGACACTGTGTAAGCACTGCTCAGTGATAGCTCTAGCATCCCTGCATTAACAACACTGTTTTGGTCACAAATCCAAACCACAGCACCTATTCTGACAAAAATTAACTCTATCCCAGCCAAAACAGCAGCACACTCCTACTGCAGGGTAGTTCTGCTACGTCAACGAGCTCAGAGAACAAAGCACAGAAATTCACTCACTCCAAATCAAACTGTAAGGGTCTCACACTAGATTTATCTTCAGCAGGCTGCACAAGATCACTAAACGTGGGAGAATTCACATAGCAAAGACAGCAATAGGAAGTAGCAGAACTACAATGCCCCCTCATTTTTGCATTGTACCAGATTATCATCCTTCTGTAGTTGGCACATTGTCTAGCCCAACGGTTCAACCAACTTCATTTAACAACTGCAGAGGAAGAAGAGCCTTGGCAGACAGGCTGTTTGCATGAAGTCAATACTGCTGTCGCCTCAAATATTTTCAAGTTGTGAAACTCGCCTGTTAAATGCTTCGCCCCGAAGCAGAACACAGATCTAGGTCTCCAGCCTGGACATACTGAGGTAGCCTGAAAGTGTGCCAGTTGGCAAACGATGCCCTGAAGTACTCTGAGCAGCTTTCAAAGCAAGTTTTAATCTAGATGCACAGAGAGTGAGGTTTGAGATATCAATATCCTAGTGTTTATTGCTACAGGAAATCATATGAAGTCCTACTTCTAGGTATTTTGAAGATTAGAATAGCAATTTTCTGCCAGGGGATTTTGGCCAGCTATTGGTGTTGAAAACAGGGGTTTTGCTTGGTCCATTGCACTTTTTTATTTTTAAATATAGCTTTGACAGTGAAGGGTCAGTACCAGCCTTCTGAGGCACATCTAGTCTGAACTCTTTATGACAGTGCCTGTTCGATTGCACTTGTTTTCCTTTTTGTAACAGAGGAGCTAGAGCTGTGTTCACAGCTCCAGTCAGGAACAGTGTAAGCCAGTAAGTAGTTCTAGCTAAGGAGGTACCACACAAGAATGCCATAGGGTAAAATGGATCATACATGCACTTACTGCACAGAAGAGTTGTAGACTTTAAAATAAAAACACACCAGGGGAAATCCAGAGATTTTAAGCAGCTGATACAAGTGTGTGAAGTCTTTTAAAGCCATCCATTATATGATTTACAGCCAGGGTTACTAACAAGGAATGGTGCAGTGATCAGAATTCATGTTTTATCTCTTCACACTTCCTCCTGTGACAGCATGTACTACTTCAGCTAGGAATTTTAAAATCCATCTCACACAAACAACCAGCTCTGAAATTGAGATGCTTACCTCAGATATCTTAAAAATATATGCAATCCAGAGATACTGAAAAGCTTTGCTAGATCTGTCAGTAAGAAATGTTTCTAAGGAGCCCACAAAGCAGTGTCCAGACAGGACTGAACTGGAGCATCAGAAAGCAAGAGGTGCATCATTCACAGTAACCACGTGTCTGAGGCTACCAAAGGCTGAGCTTACCAGCAAAGCTTAGAAGTACTGGTAACCGGTTCTTAGAACATAGGAAAGCCACCATACAGGTACATACAATAAAACCAAGTAGCATAAGCTGCATGCTGAATGAAGAAGCCTGTGCTAAGACAGTCTGAAGGGCAAAGGAGACCCTGCTATAGGCACAACAGGGCTTGTTTATTTACTAGGCCCCCCCGTATAGACAGCCTGGGAGAGGGGTGACAGGTCAGTGCTCTACAGGTCAAAAAAATCCAGTTGCAGATCTGCCTGTCCACAGCTGCACAGCTACCGCAAGCTGAGGGTTATCCTAGCACTTGGGCTTATCTACCATATTCCCACATTAATATACAAAGAGTTAAACAGTAAGGGAAAAGTGCTAGTTAAACTCCCACCACTTATCCTCTATTGAGAGAGTTCTAGAAATAAGCCTCTCTATCGGCTGAAGTCAGAATTAGCACATTTAAAAAAATACAAAACAGGCTTAGTACTCAATGGTTAAATGTTTGACATTTGTCTGTAGTGGCAAAAACCAGCTTTATCCTACCTAAACATCTCATCTCAGAACTTGCCAAGGGACTTAAACCAAGACTTCAAGTACAATCACCCTCTAAAAAGCTATATGGAAGAGAAACTCAAGCTTGGACTAAACCCAAGCTCTTTATGGCAGTAGCTTTATGAAGTCATGCCAGACAACTTGTTTTGGCATCCACATGGTAGCAGGGGAGGACTGATTCAAGTCAGAAGTTGTGAAACCAGTTACCCAGAAACAGCAGCTTCATATGGGCTCTGAAGTGTATTCCATTTAGGATCTTACTTTCATTTAAATAAACAGATAGCTGACCTGTTTTTACTTTGCATAGTTCTAGTTCATCCCAAGATCCACCAGTCAGCACTAGCTACACACTGATGAAGTACTTCCTACTGCTCAAAACAAAAGCTTTTGAAAGTAGAAAAAGCCAGTGACCTACAGTCCCCTTGCTAGTTCATACTTCCATTTCCAGCACTGGAACACCTCGGTGCTTGACATCCCACGGCTTAGACAAAGACATCATGGCTCTTCAGCTTCCAGGCCACAAGAGATGGCTGAAGACTGGTCACACCACCCTTTGGCCACAAGAAAGGATTTTCCTAAGTGCTTCCTAGCATTTGTATTTAGGTTTGATTCAGAATGCAAGCAGCAGCTTCAGCTGGAATTCCTCAGCAGGTCTCAGAGGAGGAGGTACCTTGCATTACAAGCCAATTCAAGTCTCTTGTGGGAGCGAAGTCATACAGGTTTGTGCTTCACAAGGGTCAGTGTTAAACTGTATCACAGCTGAATAAAAACCAGCATGAGCCAGCCCTTCAGGGACTGTTTTGAGGTTTAAGAAGTTCAACTACAGCACTACTGAAGAACAAGTAATGCAAGAAAGCTAGATTTTGACAGGATATTCATTTAAAATAAGCAGCCCTAATGAACTACATAGCATTGAACTGCTAATTTCTTGACCTTTCAGTTAGAAATGAAGCAGTAAGTCTTATTCACTTTGACAGAGGAAACTCTAGCAAGAACTAAACAAGTAATCCTGTTTAACCTGCACCGTTTACCCTGACGACCAGTTCTATGTAATAGCATGCATGTACACCCCACATTAAAAAAAGAGCTTATTCCCCAAAATAAAGACCACTGGCAAGATTAATACTAAAATGCATATTAACTTGTTTTATTGAGGCACAACAAGGCATTGTGAATAGCCCATACTTGAGGCAATCAATAGTGTAGTAAGCTAGACATTAATACAGTTCAGGGTAAGTGCAAACAATATACATTCACAGCTTTACTAGCAAGGCTACATCACAACTGATAAAGTGCCGAATTAGTGCTGATTCAGTACCCCAACTCCATGATTTCACCTTGCACAACAGGACCATCATTCCCCCAATCATGGAACCACATACCTTCTATGAAGTCAGTAGTAAGTGCAAAGCTAGTCCCACCCCCCTCCACCAAGGTGTTTGGAGCAGCTTTTGTAAACATTGCACTGGATTTTAGTCCTGATAAAGGAGGTATCCCGAAAAGGTGGAGTATTTCCAGCTACTTCCATAGATGGCTCCCCGATGCAGACGCAACCAGATCTGGTCTCCCTGGAACAGCTGCAGGACTGCATGGTTACTAGCTGTTTCGTGATCAGGAGCCCCATCATTTGCATATGCTGACACTAGGACCTCTTCGTTCTTCATGAGATTCACGTACAGGGGAACATTTACAGCCAGTTTCAGCATGTGGAAGATGAAGACATATGTACCATTCACGGGACAGTTGAACCTACCAAGCTGGATATCAAAAGTCTCTCCAAGGTTGTTCAGCAACAGGTCAAACACAATGGGCTGGTCGAGAGTTCCAGGGGCCAGGTTAGATGTTCTAGCAGCAGAGAAGGCAACTCTCATCTGCTGTGGGAGGGGGTAGACATGCACTGGTAGTATGGTGGCAGCTTGGCTCGTCACTGGCATATCAACAGGGGTGATGCTGCGGGAGTCTCCCTGCCCAGAGTCCCCACTGTTAAAGGTCTCATTGTCTCGTTCTGGACTGCTCACCTGAGAGGAATCACTCCACCCTGCTGTTAAAGATCATTAGCAAGGACAAGTGTTAACACAGAAGGATACCCTTAAACCTGTGTGCATAGATCTTCCAACCTGAAAGGCCACTTCAAGTTACTCCAACACAGTTCTGGGGCTGTATCCTTAAGTAGGTCATATCAACTTATGATGCTAGGTTTTCAGTCCTAAGAACTAGAATTGCTTTTAAGCTTTCTGCACTCCAAAAATGAAGTTGTTTCTTTTAAAAAATCCAAATTAAAAAAAGTCCACAATGAAAACTAGTAGATCTGAGAAATCTAAATCAGTCACCTTCAAGCTGCAAACTTATTTCCACCGGAAAGGAACACTTCAAGAAATCCATAAAACTAAGTAAAGTTGCTATGTTGTCTAGTACTAATGACTTTTTCAACTGTTAGCTCACCACAACCATCTCTTAATACTCTTCTGAAGTATATTGTGTCCTCCCTCTTACAGGGATAACCTGCTTTGTCCTAAAAGTTTCCATGATATACCATAATTTCCCTTTATTCTTCAGTTATCTACAGTTAGTATTCATCTCAATTTTTCCCTATAACACCAAGTCCAGCTTTTTTCAGCACATGCAGTATAATTAAATTGCCTTGTTGACAACTTTTCAAAATGCACCCATTCATACTTGGATAGAAAATCTTATGTATTTCTTTAGGCTTTATACTCCAGCATGGAAGTACAGAATAAAGCTGTATTCCCACAGAAGCTTTCTTATAAAGTTACCTTACAAAGTTTCAGGGATCAGATAGCTTACCCAGAGTCTAGGGAGACCATGCAATTAAGGGAGGAACTTAAAATACAGTATCAGAACCACCCTGTGTGTGTTTTCCTAGTCAGGTTATTTGTGAAGAAAGTTCATAAAGGTACCACTGTGTCAGAAAAACCTGACCTAGTGGAAGGTGTCCCTGCCCATGGCAGGGGGGTTGGAACGTCTTTAAGGTCCCTTCCAACCCTAACCATTCTGTGATTCTATGAACTTGGACATGTGAAGACACCAAATTGAGAGGTGACTAAATCTGCTGCTATGCAATACTGACTGCCCAAGAACAGTAGTTAAGCTTTCGTCTATCTTGGTTAATTTATACCAAGCTTGATCGATCAGTGACAGTACACCATTTTTCCCCACTATTCACAGTAACATGCCACTTCCAACATCTACTGTGCCCAAGCACATACATGTACTTTGGAAACCTGATGTTAGCCTTACCTCTGGAATTTGCTCGAGGACCAGTAGTTATCCCACCTCGTTTATAGCACTGCTGGTAATTCACATCCTAAACAGAACAGAAGCATCAGTAAAAGTGCTGTGAGTAGATCTGAAAACAAACAGGACTACCAAATACAATATTTTTGAATTCACACAATTCAAGCTCTAGAATAGCCAATGATACGGTTCAGAATTAAGATTCTGATGGAAAGTTTACTTTTGCAATAGCTTGTATGAAATTAAAGAACTATTTCAATGCCAGTTCTAGCAAGTTAACTTCTAGACTCTGCATCAAGCACTACCTTAAATCTCAGGTCTGCTAAAAGTATGAGTCTGTACAGAAGAACATATTTTATTTCAAAGCTGAAGACCCTTCTCCCACCAGGAACCTTTGCTTTCTTATACTGAGTAGCTGTGGGTTTTTTGCACAACCACATTCCCAGTAATGCATTTATGAGTTCGTTATTATACACTACAGAGGTATTGAGGACTAACTTTAAAGTAAAATGGACTCATTATGCCACATCTTATTTGCCATCTGCCTGCATTTTGGAGATTCCCTTCAGACTAAAAAAAACAACTTATCATATGGAGATATCTGCCAGAACTGACTTCCTATTTCAGCTGCTGTCTACTGTTCCAAGAGGGTTTCAGCTAGGAAATAAAACTGAGCTCTAGCTCATAAAGAATAGCACACCCATTAGGATAATGGAAAGCTACAGTGTCAGAAGACTTCTCCCATACAGAGCTCAAGAAGGCTACTGGAAACAGTCAGTGCTTACCCTCTGAGAATATGGCATTCCAGCATAATCTCTTCCAGGGAACTGCAGCTGGCCATAGTTGCCATTAGTTATTGAAGGTGAGCCTCTGTAAGCATCAAAACCTGTTCAAATAAGGTTGATTAATCAATATTATTCATGGTTTGGTGTACAAGTCCAGAATACAGCTAGAGCTCCCTTTTTGCAGCCATGTGTATTAAATTACAAATTGCATATCTACTCCTTATCTCAGAGTCTCCCTACTCCTACACAGAATGTATGTTGTTACATACACTGGCTAGTTCAGAGTAGCTATCAGTTGCTTTTAGAAGTATTATCAGATCTTAACTGCCTGTTTGATACTAAGGGACTTCACAGAGCAGCCTAAAAACTTGCTAGATCCAGAGAGGCTTTAGCAGAATTAATGCTTTTGCTATTACAGATGCTTAGCTCTGGCTGTTACACATATAAGTACTGTAATATTTAGCATTTTTAGCTACTATAGCAACTACCAAACCCTTAACTGCTGGTAGGGTAGAACTACCTACCTCATTTTCCAGTATGTGTTCTTACAAGGCATTGAGCAGTCTCAGCCCAGTAACTCAAACAACTTCTACCACAGACAAAGTGCCCTTCTCCTTCAAAGTGGAACAGGCCATAGCTATCAACCACCTGAAGGTGGTACCTGCTGGGAGTCAGCTGGAGCCTTCCATAGTACTTCAGCTAGCAGAATTGCAACTGATTGACAGAGACTAAGCAATCCTTTTCCTAAATCCCTTCAGTTATTAATTCAGAAGGCCTCTCCACTACTGGGAACCTCTCCCCCACTCCAGTTTCTGCTGGTAATATTAAAGCCAGTAGTGCTATGCAAAGAGCATCTGTTCTGGGCAAAGTGACATCTGAAGAGATAATACCTGCCCAGAGTGTTAGCAAGACAGATGCCAAGAGGAAAAAATAAAGGGGATAAATTGTTCAGAAGGGTCAATGAAATAGCAAGCAGAAGAGTCTATACAGTAAAGTAGTTTAGTAATTGATCAGTGAAGTTTCCACTTTCCTAATTCAAAAGGCTATGAAATTTTTGTGCCAGTTCACCTGACACCCAAAGTACAGAGACTACAAATAAGAATGAACGTACTGAAATTCTACAAAGGAAGACCCTATTCTCTGCTCATTACTCTTCAAGTCTTGTTTTATGAAGTTGCACATATAGAACATAAATTCAATACCATGTTGTGTTAAACCATATTCTGGTGTTACTACATGAGATTTTTATTTTTTAAGGTAGTAGTAAGTAGAGGCATACCTTTGTACCCTCCAGGGGAACGATACGAATTAGCCAGTGACCTTCCACCTCTAGCAGATCCCCTGACAGACCCACGACTGTTAAGGTAAGGCTGAGGGGGTCTGGGAATAACATTACTCTGTGCTGGATAAAAGGCAAGGCTACCATTGCTAACAGGAACAGCTCCATCAGGTTGATAATTCACTGCTTAAAACAGAAGACAGATTAATTCAAAGCTTTTAACTACAGTAAATTACCATAACTAGAAGCAAGGGCAGCATTTAGAAAGTTCAGAGACTGATTAAGCTGCTTAGAATATCCTGTTCTTCTGCCCCTTCATTACTCCAAATAAGTGGGAATCCTCCCCTTTGTTCTGTAGAGTGGAATGCTTGTTCCAGTACACTGCAGACAGCCTGGGTTGTCAGTGTAAGCCTCTAATGCATTCTACAAGATCCAGCTGCATAGGTCAGAACAAGCTTGCTAGCAGCATCAAGAAAATAGCCAAACTAGAATAGAACCAAGTAACACCCCATTAAGATTTTTTCACTTACAAACAACACAGTGCTACTAGCAAGACCTCAGTGGTCTAATCCGATAAACTAAGTCACCCCAGTGCTGACATCCTTAAAAATGATTATAAACTCAGTCTTACCTAGACAGCAGTAAGACAACTAGATATTTGGGTTCAGCCTCTTCCACAGACATACCTACCACAGTTCAACCCCAAGCAACAGGTATAGCAGTATTTGAGAAGGCTTTTCACTCACAGGGTCGTTGAGTGGTTAGCTTTAAATACAGACCTTGCAACCATAAACATGTTTCCACAGGACCATGCTTTATATTGATCCAGAAAGCTTAAAACTGATCCAGAGTAACAATCTAAACCCCTTTCTGAAGTCTGTGCAGAGCCACTACACAAGATGAAAAAAAATCATAGTGTTCTTTCAAAAAACTGTATAGAAGGCTGATCACCTCTAGCCTCAGTGATGAGAAAGCACTCAAGCTAAACATGCTTCCCTGACTGCTACACTTATGCTGTTCTCTGGAGCTCTTAATCTTCATGTCTCACTGCCTTCACACACTCTCCGTCTATTTCCAGTATAATGCCTATGAGTCCTCTGGCAGAAAACCAGTGATTTTAAGTGACCTTGAGTCACTTGGATTAGACAGTCTTAGAAACCCAGATTCCCAGCTGACAGCTTCCTTTCATCCTGGAACACACTTCAGGCAAGTTTAGGGGCTAATTTCATTTCAAATTCTTTGTGTCAGCTATGTAAGTTCACCTGGTACAGTATCTGAATGTCAGGAAGCTCAGCTTTGTGTTGAAAAAGGCAGCTCAAGACCCCACTTATCACAAGTTGAGTATTCCTCAGGACACACACTCAGACTCAACCAGATAAAGTCATCACTATCAACAGAAGTAAAAGGATTCCCTCTTGCTGCAGAACAGGCTGCCAACAGTCTGCATCTGTTTAGGCTAGAAGCACATGCATGAACAGCTCCTGCAGCTCAGCAGATTCTCAATACCTCACTGAATGAATAACATTAACTTGTGACTGAGGCCTCCTAGCTAGGAAACTACCCTTCCCAGGTAACAAACAAATTTAGGGCCTAATCAGAAACAGATTGTTACAGAAAGATAGAACTTCAATAGCACAAGACACAGCTAGAGTGGCAGTCATCATGACCTGTAGGGAACATCTAGAATGATTATCTCCAATATAGTAAGGTTGATATCCACATGAAGATTTTGGCAAGCTAACTACAGTCAAGATCAGCCATGTGCTTTACAATAATTATATTGAGCTAAAAGTTCAAAAGGAGAGACACCAGCCCATTCTTAAAGCAAGAAAATTCTAAATCCTAAACAGCTCAGATGACCCAAAGTGGTATTTTGTGCTATTGTACAAGACTGAAGTAATCACCTCAGCAGTGAAAGCTTATCCCAAATTTCTTACCAAGCATTCAGCAGCTCCCAGCACGACAGCCAACACTAGTGTCTATTAGCAGAAACTTAATCAATGGTTCCTAATAAGAGCAAGTCATCACTGCTTCAATTCCAAGCAATTGGAATTCGATTCTGACAAGCATCACAGTATATTTTTGCATTTTCAGCACATAGGTGACTGTCTACACAACTAGTATGGAAACTAGTTTAAAGCAGCCTTTCATCCTGCTATCAGTTTTGCAATCAAGCTACTTACACACCACATCAACTAGATTAGAGGCGGTGTAACTCTAATAGACCACTGTTATGTAGCACCCATGAGGAATTTCACTGAGTTAGAAGACAGCACATGTTAAGGAACAACTGCTGCTATACCCTGAAGAACTTTAAAGATCACCTGAAGCAGGTACACTTCTCACCTGAAGACAGAGAATCCTGTGAAAGAGAGGTTTGTTCACCAACATGAGAAGACTGCAACTGGCATTGAGGAGGGGTCTGTGTACTTGCTGTAGAGAAACTCTGGTTATATCCTGATGAATACGAAGATTCCTCTTTAATTTCCTGGTCTTTACGTGGAGGCAGTGGTGCATTCACTTTAAACACCTACAACATATTAAGACAAGTGCTTAACATTACCAGCTAAAGTCCCTGCCTAATGCCACCCACCCTATGCTGTGGTTTCAGTCCATGTTCCTAGATCACCTTCTAGAACACCATTTCTTGCAGTCAAGAACATTGTATTTCAACTCATCCCTTTCCTTCTCAGTAAGCTTCTAGAACTTACTCCTACTGATGTAGTTTGATTGATCATAGCTACCACATTTGCTCAAAAGAACAGCTACCATACAGTAAGAAATTTCACTGCTATGGGAAGTCAGTTGTTGGATTGACTTATATCCTACAGCTTCTGACCTAAAGTTGGGACAGCATATACCAAGGAGATTCATGTTTAGAAGGAATTTGAGACTTGATACACATCTTGGAACCATTATAAAATAACACTTTTTTTTACTTTACCAGATGAAGTGATCCAAGTGATCCAAAGCAATCCTCTCTAAAAGAAGTTTGAGGATGCTGCAGTCAGGCTGTCAACACCTACATGCTGGAGTATTTGTAGCACATAGTCTACTTTTTCCTACAGGGTTACAGCTGGAATTCAATAAGAGCACTTGAGCTACAGGTAGAATCTGCCTTCAAGCTTCCATAAGCACAACAGCAGCAATATGTTCTGACATCTGAGGCCATGCAGTCAGATAACTCCATTACTATCCCTGTCCTACCACTACTTGGCAAGGAACCATCTGACTCCTGGCTATATATTCAAACCCAATGGCTGTGTCTTCCTGGCAGCAATGAGATTGTAAGCAATGTAGGGAAGAAATCACTGCACCATGAAGTTAAGACTGCCACTACTACAAGAAGTATTAACATCCTAGCAATTCAGTGACAGATGTTTGCCAGTTTGGCCCAGAAAAGCCAGGACAAATCTTGAACATTTAACATCTCTGAAAGCATTAATTCAAGGGAACTTTCATTGGCACCATTTCGTTCAAAATCACTTTGAACACAGCCCATAGGTTCAGATGGAAACAGGATGATGGAGACCAAGACTATTTGTATCATGACAGAAACTTAGCTTATAGACTGTGTTCCGAGGAAGACTCTGGATTGATCATAGCACACTGCCATTTATCCACTTACATGGTAAATCACCACCTAGCCACTTAATTTAAATAAATCTGGCTGAGGAAGAACCACCTCCCTACCACCACTTGCCTTATTTATAATCTATGTCAAAATTCTGTTCCTCTGTGGAACATTCTACTTTAACCTCTTCTACAAAACAGAAAGCCAAGGAGGAAGTCATGGCAGTGACTTACTACAGACCACAACAGAATGTCAGATGTTTTAGTCATTAATTCCTGTGCTCTGAAAGACTATTAGCTACATTTGTCCACCCAGTCCTACTACACACCTCAATACTGCAAGATGCAGATGGTCCAGAGAGTTGTGGAACCGCACTGGTACATTTGAGAATGCCTTTGGAGAATCCCTGTGATCTCTTTCTAAGCTTGCTTTAAACCAAAAACATTAAAAGGTTTCTAGCATCTTCCTAAGAAGGTATCAGAGGAGCAGAAAAGCCCAAGTATAAGGAAGGGAACACTAACAGCTAATTTGAGGCCATTCCTCCGTGCCCCTCTACACTTGCACTGCAGATCAGAAGACTGTAGCAGTGTTAGAACACATCAGTAATGACATATGGCCTGACAAAATAGATTCTATTCACAAGAAATACCATGCAGTCTGTGTGGACTACTCCCTAGACATCTACACTGACTATTGTTAACACAAGGTAGGATGAGCTACACCAGTTTATACAGGACACATTTTCCATTATTCCAGCAGACTATTTACCACCTAAAGCAAACAGTTTAAAAATCAGCAAGAAAGGTTCAGGCTTCAGAAAGTTTTTAGTCCTAGCAGCTACCTGCTTCAGGATTCCCCCTCTTCTGCAGTCTTTATTTGAAATCCATGCATAAGAACAGTTACAGTGTAGTCAACCTCACCTTGGGGCACAGCTCTAAGTGTTAATTTCAGGTCTGACTTTTCCCTTTTAGTTCCTTGAGGCTACACTAAGATAACCCCGTACTAGATTTTGGGACTATACAGCACAAAACCAGGATCTCTGTTCTCAGATGATCCATTTCAAGTTGCAAAGGCACTGGAGGGGCAGAGTTCTAATTCAGGTTTTTATCATTAAAACAAAGTGATATACCCAGTTCGGTACCGTAATCAAGGGGAGCCAGTTTCCCAGTATTAAGGCTAAGTTATTAACTGTAATTGATAATTGCCATTATTCCGTGGCCTCAAATTGCATACGTACAGTCTGCATAGCCTGAAAGGGAGCCGCTGTTATCGTGACAGAACTGCTGCTTGCTGGAGGAGACTGGAAGCTTTGCGCTGGTGGTACTGGCGACATGGAGGTGCTTGAAGTAGGCAATGGTGACTGTGGCTCACTTGGGAGGGGAATCGTTGCCTGAGGGAAGAACAAATGTAATGAAAGGTCACTTGATAATTATCAGGCAGTAACAGCAGCAGTTAATTTGTTCTAAAGCCTAGACTGACAGAAGTCAGCAGTTTCTACAGGATGACATTTGGACATAGTAGAGCTACAAAACAGCTTTTGCTTACAATTTCAAATCTTGCTGTGCATTCTCAGCAAACAGTACTTCTATTGCAGTCTCTGCTGATTAAGTGAAATGTGCCTGTGAGCTACTATACATACCACTCACTATAATTTCACAATAGAGACACTAGGTATTTTTTCCACCACCAAGGAAACAGAATTCCTTCTGCTCCATTTATTGGAAGATCATTCTCTAGCTGATATTAGAAGTGAATTCTATTTTCCAAAGGAACTTGGGAAGTTTAGGTTAACTTTTTCCCCTTCCAACTTAATTACATTTCAGATTCAAAACAATGCTGAGTTGTCCAGACAAAGTATTAACCAGCATTAAGTCTCATCTGTGCAGATGGCAAAATAAAGCATCGATTTAGCATACTAGTATTTATAGGAATTGGAAGTCAAAAGGAATGTAAAGGTCTAGACACATTTCAGCAACAAATATATTTACCTTACCATATTTGTGACAGCTCACCTGGGCAATTTCAATCTTTTTAGGTATCAGTGGCTCAGAAATACATGAGCTCGTCTGATAAAGTGGCTGGGAAGTATACTTCTCTGTCTCTTGAGAAAGCGGTGCTGATGCCTAGAAGAAACCATATATGCACCTGCTGTGACAAGAAGCATTAAGCATGAGGCCCAAAGTTCTGGTAGAGCTATGAAATACTGGTGCACAAGTTGAGACAAGTGGATTTTGAAAGGCCATGACAAACATGAAGTCCAAAGTCAATGTAAGTCATCTTAACCAAAAAGCTTTAAGTAATTAGAGATTCAGAATTAAAATTACCCTTCTTACACAAGACATTGCACAACTAGCCCTGCAAAGTCGGATAATTTCAGAACTGCAGATTGCTTCAGGCAGTTACTGTGAGGTCTGACACACACCTGTCATTAAATGGAAAGACATGTCTGATGTTAAACTTCCAGTAAGCTCTGTTGAGCAAGGCTTCAGAGCCAAACTCTGGTTTGCCTTTGCAAAATCTACACGTTCTATAGCTGCTCACACTTGTAATGCCAAGTTTAAGAGTTGCTTACATTTAGCTACACAGCCCAGGGCTAAAGACTACCAGCCCCCTTCTCACTGTTCCCATACCAGCCACCAGAGGTCCATCAAGCAGAACCACACCTGCCTACCAGGAGAGTGCACTGTCACCGTGGAATGCATTCCCTGGCTGTGCAGGGACCAAAGCAAGCTCATCTACTGCTTTCCATGAGAAGCAGGACTGGAAAGAGACAGCACACTTCAAGCCTAAGGGACTAGAGATATGCTGAGCACAAGCAGCCCTAGTTCCAAACAGTAAGCTTGCAAAAAAAGTCAGAACATTCCACTAAATCAGATGTTCTGTTCATAGCACAGCTCTAGTCTTCTGGATGCTCATGACACAGCAGTTCCATAATCCTTGTCAGCACAAGTAGTCTTCTAACACTGTAGACCTGAGAAGGTGTCAAGAACAAGGCCAAAACTGCTGATTCAAGGGGCAGCAAGACAGTTATATCCCTGTCAAGACTTTATTCAACCATACAGTATATTAAGGAATAGGGTACATGCTACATGCACAGCACACTGGTAGCATGTACACCAAAATCACTTGAAACCACAAAGATTTCTCCATTATGACCTACATACACTCCAATAGATGCCTACAGGTAAGACCCAGCTGTGTTTCTGAACACAGCAACACCTTCACAAGGGATCTTTAAAGACGATGATCTGCATAAATTGAAATACTATTTTTAGCTCTGAACAACATCTGAATGCTAGTTGAGGATTTAACTGCACATACAGTTAAAGTAAAATTTGAGTATTGGCTGAACATGAGAAGCCCGATTTCCATTATTTCTTCAGTTAGAGCTTGAGAGAACACATCTCAGTCTTCAGCTTACACAGAAGTCTGCTATTTCATGACAATATCCATCCCAATCTATGCATCCTGTTGTCATTAGAGGGAGTATTTTACACTAACCAAAGCAAATACTTATGCTGCTCCTGTGTTCCCACAGGAATATGGGCCACACTTTCTAGTCTACATTTTCCATCCCACACCCTTCCCTTTTCAAGGGGCAGACCATTCACTTGGCATTCAGGCAGTATGAAGAAGACCTTTCCAACCATCTAAGTATTCCAGAATAAAGGCTGTACTGCTGCTGTTACTTGCATTCTGTCCCTGTATGTTCAAGAGTAGTTATTCAGGAGAGGCCCCACCACAGCTTTCTGCTAAGGTTGGCTATTGCCCAGATCTCCAAATGCCAGTGACCCCCAGGATAATACCTGTGGCTTCTGCGGCGTCACCAAGTCTTCAGTTTCAGAGCCAGAAAGGGTCTGATCAGCAGATGCTAGGGAAGTATTTGAACCATGCAGTGTCACAGATGAAGCAGCAGCCTCGAAAGAAGGGAAAAACTGAGGTAAGGTTTTGAAAGATTATCTCAAATATTTGGTTTCACTGGAAACTCACTCTGGGCATTTCCAAGTAAACCTAGAATAAGGCAGGAGCTGAAGTGCTTCAACTAGTTAGTCTAAGTTTTAGGACTTCTTGTTAATGGCAAGGAAACCTATTTAGAAGCCAAATTAGCAAGACATGCAAGCACACTAAGTGAATTTAAGGTTCACTTAACCACAGCTCCAAAGCTTGAGATACTACCTTTGGCATAAGCATGGATCTCTGAGCACAACATGCACTGTGTAGGAAAGCAGCAGCGTGTTCTCCTCCACACAACTGTTAGCTATGACTTGACTCCAAGTTAAATATTCAAACTATTTCAGCACACCTTCAACATACTGCTTTACTTCAAGAAATTTAAACCATTTTTTGTTGCTTTTCAGGCAGAAGAGCAGTCAGCTTTGTCCACATCGGAACGATCTTAGACTTGCAATACTAAGTTATCCAAGATCTTAAGAGATTTGTAACAAAGATACTGACAAGAAGAAAAACTGAAGTACTAAGTCTATTCTAGGGAATAACCTCTGATTCATTCCTTGGCTACAGCTCTGCCTCTTCAGGGCAGTCCTAACTTCAACTTACTTGAAGGGGCTGTTGAAGAAAATCACTCTGACTTGGCAGTTTCTGTTCTTTTGAAGCTGTAAAAAAAATGCAGTAGGCAACATTTACTTTTAAATTCAAACACTGCATGTAGTTTCAGTGTGCAGTTCTACTCTTTGAAAATATTTGGTGTATAAAGATGCACAGTATTTTAGTGTATGCTCTGCAAATGCTTAGCTTCCACATCAGTAAACTACACCCAACTGAGAGTTTGGTCTTTATAAAAGAGGAGAGGTATTCAATAAACATGGTATTTCTACCACAGATACCCACTTTCGAGATTAAAAACCCAATTAAATATTTAATAACTGTGTTTTGCAGCCCAAGAGCTACCCAGTTTCTTAACATGGCTCATCACAGAAAGATCCAGTTTTCTAGTGTAGCCCAATAACTGCTCTTTATAGAGATGAGCTGTGAATTGAGCTCAGGGTGTACACAACACATAGATAAGTTTGTTAAACAGATACAGCATTTCAATTCTACAGCTGGGTTGAGATGCACATGCCAGTCAGTGATTATACAAGCATTCCAACTCTAGGAAGATACACCAACTTAAGCCACCTCCAGCAATACATAAGTAGGTAAACGGCTCAAGCTGCCTTTTATTTAATCAGACATTGCTATTCTTTATAATGAGACAAGCTGTCTTCACCAAACCTGCTGATCTGCAGCCCAAGCAAACCCTGTTAGTGTTTGCACAAGCTTACATACAGTTTACACTTACAGTATTACCTACCTACAGGACTACTTTGAGTAACTGAGGGTGGTTGGGATGAACCAATGGCACTTGGTGAAGCTTTATCAAAATCCAGAATGGACTCCTTTTGAAAAAAAAAAAAGGATCAGTTACAAGTAAAATATTTAAACTCTAGATGCAAATGAAAAATGTTTCGTTTGACAAGTTGCTGTTGGCTAATTAGAGCTACATTCATTCAGTGTAAAAACACACTGTCAGCACTGTTTTCCCTAACCTAGTAGGAACTGGAGCTTTGTACTACAACAGCAGAGAAAAAAACAAACATACTTGCATGAAGTTGTAAGTCCCTTGTATCTGAGTCATTAGATCCTGAAGTTTTTCACGTCTCAATACTGGATCTTTTGGAAGAGTTGAAGTAGAGCAAAATTCTGCAGCTGGCTGATGTACAGATTTAGGCACCTAATAAGGAGAAAAATGTATTAAATGTAATACTGGAAGCAAAACAAGCTGCCTTACCCAATATACTTCCATAGCAGTCTATAGGTGTCAAGACACTGTGGGCCAAGGAATTCTGTGCTGTTATTGGTATTTCCCAAATCGAGCTTTCAGTGCATTAAGTCAGCTTAGTGTTGCCACAGCTGGTTAAGCCACAGAATTAGTTCATTCAGTTTCTTACAGTCAAACATACAGAAGGCAAGTTGCCTGCATTTAGTGCATAGTTAGGGACCTCCACCTAAGGAAACCCACATATTTAAGTTGAAAGCCAGAACTTAAACCCTGAGTGATGCAGCTTTGATTTTTAAAACATACTTCCTCCCAGTACAGCCTGCATCAGTAAGTACAGATCTTTTATTAGGATGGCATTTCCAGACACTGTGAAGAAACTGCACCTAAGAAACACACTGCAAGCAGGTTACTCAGGATTAGACCAAAGTGCTTCCACTAATGAGCCAGATACTCCCAATGCACCAGCTCCTGCAGAAGTATTACATTAAACTGTTTAAAGTCTGGCATAAAAAAAATGTACCTGTGCACCCACATGGAAGCCTAACTTTGTAGCTAAATAAGGATTTCTGCAGGGCCTTACTCCTTGGTTGTTTCAATGGTCCCTTAGAATTTCATCCCAACTGGTTCTCACTTCACTTTAAAGGAGGGAAATGTTCTATCAGAATAAGCAAGTCTAAGGTATGAGAAAAGTCATGGTAGTAAACTCCCTAAGCACCAGAAGCCCTGTTAGTGACAGTAGTATCAGACTGTCTGGATAATCTAACAGGTCTTTTGAAAGCAGCTTTGGGAAGAGACTGGCTTGTTATAAGTACTTTAAAACCATAGTTTTCAGTGATCCTCTGAAGCTTTGCTGTTTCTATGTTTGCCTGCAGCTAGATGGAGGCAAATCTGAGGACATTTAGTTGCATTATTTCCACTGGCCCAAATGTTGAGGCACATGGATGCCCCATCCCTGGAAGTGTTCAAGGCCAGGCTGGATGTAGCTTTGAGCAACCTGGCAAGGTGTCTCTGCCCATGGCAGGGGGGTTGGAACTAGATGATCTTTAAGGTCCCTTCCAACCCAAACCATTCTATGATTCTATGGGAGCATCTGAAAGCCTTTACTTTCCAACAGTACAAACATTTGTCTTTCTGATAGGAGGTTACTCTTCAGTACACTGTATAGCTGAGTATTTGTAGGTGGTCATTAGAAGACTATGGCAGAAGGGTGTCATGACATTTAACTGTCACTAGATTCAAAACAAGTTGAAATGCTCTTTGTCCAGTTTTAGGACAAGAGGCCCAAAGCCTCTTGTATTTCCCTCTTCAACAGAGATCTCAAACTGATTGCTAGCATTTGCAGAAATTCCAGTAGCATGCACAGGCAAGAAGCTTGCGGGGTTTAGTGTGCTGCACAAAGCACAATCCGTGTACCTGCAGCACATCATGAACTCTGGAGGGCTCCATTTCTAGTACCTGTGTGGCCCAAGTGACAGCTACATGTTGAGCTTTGAGAGGTTTTACTTTAGAGCTAGAAGATCACACCTTTGTACTGTGTCTTAATTAGTGTTTATGATGCACAAGTACCACTCCTTTAACTACTGACTATGCAAGTTTATAGTGCTGTATAGTTTCCAATAAAAAAATAGATCCTTAATAGGTTTAGTTCCTAAGTGCAGGACAAACAATACAGTTGAATAAAGGTAAAAAGCAGCAAGATATAAATTAAGTTACTAGGAAACAATTATCCTGTCCATCACTTTTAGCCCTTACTTACAAGCAGACTTAATCTTGACACCTGCTGTCATGGTAAATTCATTATGGGTCAAACCGATTAATGCTTCTATTACCCTCCTCCTCCTACACTACCAAACTAGTTCTGTATGTTTGCACATGGGTAACAGGCTTTACACCTTTCAGTCACCTAGCCAGGTCTAGTCTGGCAGCACGTGAAGCTGTTAAGGCTGCTGGCTATGCAAGTTAGACTTGTGCATGAAACACAAGTCAAGGCAGCCTCGAGAGCATGGAAGCAGAAGAGACTGCAATTTCATTTGTGGCTGCAGAGATGACAGTCTTCCGTATGCTTTTACAGTTTGTTAGTCTCTTTCCCCAGCTTGTACTACGCATTATGCTGGTAGCATTCTTGACTTCAATTGAAGAGCAAGCATACAGAGCAACATACCTATGTGCTATTAAGGGTTTAATCCAGGATTAAACAGACTTTCCATCCTGTAGATGTTATTTTCTAGCTCCTGCATATATTAAGGCACCAGACACAAGTAGCTATAGCCTTTTATCTACCATGCCTAGATGCCTGCACAAGGTAATTCACAGGTTCTCCCTAGGAGTGAAATGGATCCAACTACAGCACTGCATTGCCTCTTTTCTTCTTATAAGCAAAAGGCAAAAAAAGTTTTCTTCACCAAGAAGTTTAATGCTATTTTAATTGTTCTTTATATACACCTCACTTTTGCTGGTACTTGGGTGTTCAAAACTCGAATACTCACATGTGATGCAGAGCATATGCAAAGAAGCATCGAAGTACTGCAGTTTTATGCTTTTATAAAAGTTTTGAAAAAGAGTAGGTACCTGACACCCTTAAAATGGTTTAAACCAAAGTTTTCTTTCTAGCCTACAGTTGCATGCTGTTTCTGGAAGTCATTACAAGCTGGTAGCAGACCGAGTTTAGCAACCTGTTTGGCCAGCTCACAGACTTACACTAGTGCATCACTTAACACTAGTGGTTCAAGCAACATTCACTTTAGACCCTAAACAGTGCTGCATAAGACTAATTTGTCATAACATTTCCAAAGCTTAGCTTCAACACTACTTATACATTCAGGACAAACTGAACATATACCCAGAGAACCAAAAATGGAGTTAAAAACCTAGAATTTGGTTTAGGACCTGTTAAATCATTGCAAATAAACCAACATAGAGGCACACTGACCACTGGAATTTTCCTAGTCTAAGGGCCAATACACTAAGTGGTCCTGTTACTGCTCGATTTTTTTAGAGCCTGGAGGTCTACTTATGCATAACATCAACACACATTCCAGCCACCTCACATAGTAGTAAAACTCCATCTTATGGCACAGGACCTCAACTCCTCTTCAGGTCTGTTAGCTGTGGAGTACTAAATGAGCTGGAATGGCAATATCTAAGCTGTAATCACAGCAATGGCCAGCTGCTCCATGTAGATACACAATTAAACAACTGCTTTCTACTCAGAGCAGCATTCACAGCAGGTAGAAATTAAATGGCACTGGATGACAGCAAAGGCCAAAGTGTTTTGCTTTCACACAGCAGGCCACAAATTCAGCTCTAACCAAATTTGCTGGTCCATAGGTCACACAAGCATTTAAACAGAACAACAGTTTAACAGGCTCGCATCTCAGATCTCCCTGCTGCCTTAGGCCCAACTTAAGTAGAGCTGAGCCATCTTTTAGAGATCTTAAAATATGCTTCAGTTATTTCAAGGAGTAAAGAAAGATTAATTCCAGCTCCAGAAAGCAGCAGCAGTGACATGTGCTTTTTATCTACCATGCCTAGATACCTGCACAAGGTCATTCATAGGTTCTCCCTAGGAGTGAAATAGATCCAACTATAGCACTGCATTGCCTCTTTTCTTATAAGTAAAGACATAAGAAGTCTAATTCACTAAAATGTTTAAAACACTATTTTAATTGTTCTTGATATACACCTCAAGTCAAAGACATTAAGGAGTGGTTATGGAAGCTAGCTAGGTTGACAGTACACTTTACTCATTCAATATACTTTTGATATGAGGAACTGTCAATAGCTACCAAGTAAAAATACAGTCAGGGTGTTCCACTATGGTCTACTGCATAAATCAAAGTCTGAAGTCTTGAAAAATATGCTCTGTTCACTTAATTCAGTAATCCATCTTAAGCAGCTTTATACTCTGCCATTCAGGCTGACTTGCACACCTGCACATCACTATGAAGACCCCTAGGCAGCCTGCAAGTTTCTCCAACTCACTGGAGACCCTCCTTTTTCCTTACAGCATCAAAGTTTTGTCCAGCACTGAAGCCACCCATCTTTGCATCCGATACAAAAATAAGAGCCCCCTTCTCATAAGGTAGCATCTTGCATTTAAGCTTTAAATTAATCTGACACCAGAAGTTCCCAGGCATCTTAAAGTGCTGGAGACAATTCCAGTATATGCCAGTTACAGAAATACTACACAGTTGGGTGCACAACACCTACTCGTGCTCAGAGCTACGCAGTGTGAGGCAAGGGGGTTTTGTACCTGTACCACCACCACCAGTGGACAAAAGATTCTACTCATCTTGGGTGTAAAAATGAATCAAGTTGAGACACCTTAATCCCCATTTTGTTACCCAGTAATCATGTTACCTACTCTTTTAATTTCATGTTCAACCTTCTGTTTGCGGTCCCGCCTCTAGGCACAAAAACATTCATTTTTCAGTTATGTCAAGTTTACTGAGAAGATTTAAGCTTAATCATTTGCTGAGTGAAGTGCAATGAATTGATTTCTGCTTTCTTGCAAAATAAGGTGATACTACTAACATCATACACAGAGACAATTGCTCAATTCCCCATATTTTCTTCCTGAAGTCTAACTCTGTATTAAACATCACTTAATGACATACCTGAACACTGCTTTGCCTACCACCCTACCTATTTTCACAGTATCAGAATTGTTACTACCTTTCTCACCTGTGCTTGAGTAACATAACCAGAGACTAGCAGCCTGCTCAGCTGTAAGCTCTGCAATAACTTTTCTTTTAGATTTCTAAGCCAAACTATGCCATTGTTACACTCTCCAGGACAGCAGTACGGCTCATGCATTCATCTGGAAATACATATTTAAGCCCCTGTACAGTTGGTATTGCTTGATCTAGACATTAGATCTCCCTTGAATCAGCAGCTATTTTAATCAAAAGCCTAAAAAAATAACTGAAGTGCTATTTGCATGCAGCCACAGACAAAGTATTTGATCCCTGGATGAGTCATACCTGCTTTGTACTGAGAGCAGTGGACAGAGCCAATAGCTGGGGATGAACCAAGTTAATTCTTCTGTCTTATGCAGAAAGCAGTTATTTGAGTCTCAAACACAGCAACACTGTGCTCATGTAAAAAGCAAAGCAGACCATCTTGCTACTCGTATATAAGTTCATCAGAAATATACCCCCCCTAAGAAAGAATGAAATAGCCTAAATAGAGGCCTACAAAATGCACCTTACAGAGCCCCTGCTATTAGGCAGCTTTAGTCCAACACACTAGTGTGAAAAGCTTATGACAGGTAATACTACGTATGCCAACTCACTTCTTTGGGTTCCATATCAAACTTCTTTGGCCCCATCTGCTCCTTTGGCCCAACACTTGCAGCTCCCCAGGACTTCGGAGGGTTCTGTAACTGCTGTGATGGCACTTGCTGCTGCCTGTCAGCTTTTTCCCAAGCCTCTCGAGTCTCCTGCTTCTTTTGTTCTGGCTCCTCCCTAACATGTGCAGCCCAAGCCTTCACAGGCTCCTGCTTCTTTTGCTCTGGCTCTTCCCTAACAGGCATTTCCCAGGATTTCACAGACTCTGGCTTCTTTTGTTCTGGCTGCTCCCTAGCCTGGGTTACCCAAGGCTTTGGAGATTCCTGCTTTTGTTCTGGTTCTTCCCTAACCTTTGCCACCCAAGGCTTAGGCGATTCCTGTTTCTTCTGGTCCTGCTCTTCCCTAACCTTTGCTACCCAAGGCTTAGGCGATTCCTGTTTCTTCTGGTCCTGCTCTTCCCTAACCTTTGCTACCCAAGGTTTGGGGGACTCCTGCTCCTCTCGGACACGTGCTACCCAGGCCTTTGGAGCTTCTTGCTTCTTCTGTTCTTCCTCCTCAACGCGGGTCTCCCAGGGCTTTGTAGACTCACGCTGCTGTTCCTCTTTAACACGGGCTTCCCAAGGCTTTGGAGAATCCTGTCTTTTTGGTTCTTGCTGCCTAACACGAGCTTCCCAAGGCTTTAAGGTCTCTTGTTTCTGCTTCTGTTCCTGCTCTTCAACATCAACAAGCATTTCCCAGGACTTTGGATGTTCTTGCTTTCTAATACACTCAGCATCCCAAGATTTAGGCTCTTCTGGCTTCTTCTTGACAGAGTATTCTGCTTCAGGCAAATAACGCCTGTTGAGAAACTATATAGACCAGAGAAACTTAATGGCTCCCAAGAAAACATTTGGCTACTACAGTTCAGGTCAGTTAAGTCACTCAGCTGCTGAAAATTCCTGACTAAAAGCAGATCCTAGGCAGTTTAAGCACTAGTCATAGAAACTGTGTGGACAGCCATGGCTTTATGCTACAGCACCGAGATAAGCTTTGCTTGGCATGCCACAGAGAAGCACGAATCGGTCCTGAACAGCACAAGTGAAATGTACTGGAGCCAAGGAAATCTCTCATCCTCAATGCTAACTGTTCCCAGGCAGTGGCAATAAAGCTCAGTTGTGATTTTTTTATAAAACTAGATCTCCTACATATCTGAAATGCTGGGATACTACATTAGTAGGCATTGTTAAAGCATATCAGCACCATCTCCCCAAAACACTTTGGCCCAGCAATCAAGTACAACCCTCATTCTTGGTGGAATTTAAATACTGAACAGCTACCACATTCTCAGATTTAGTACTCCTGGAATTCAACTCCAAGCTGTGTTTACCATCAGTAAGTCTGGGTTCAATGAGGATGTCCTGAAGTTTTCCTGGAGTTACTACATCATAAACATGAAGTAAATATACAAGATGAAGTATGTACAAGGCTCACTGACTGAGATTTTCTGACAAGTCACCAGAAAACCTTTAGTCAGGTAACTGTGACCAGTAGGTTACAAATACTTGTTCCAGAGCACACCCTCTGGTGGGATGCCTGGGAAATAAGGATTCAGCATTTTAAGAACCAGCATTCCCACTTACAAAAAGACACCCCTCCCACCTTTTGAACCACATGTAATGGCTTTTACCCTATTGCCAGTTGAAACTTGAGTGCTTAACTGGGGAGTCTGAAGGGCTGTTGAAACAGGCCTACACACTCCTGTACACACAAATCTGTCTTGGGATCCCTATTTTCCTGACAAATCAGAGCAAAACCTACATCATACTCAACCCTACCAATACCAAGTCTACAGCAATAATCTTAGCTTTTAAATACAGCCTAAGTAGTTGTGTATTTTCTCTATCCTGTAGTACACAAAAGATCAGTGTGTTTCCACTCTAAAGGCTGATGCTTTGGTTTATTCAGGGAAGTGCTAAAGCATTACAGTACTACACTGCTTCATGTAATCCTGCCCCATTTATCCCAAAATACCACAGAGAAGCCATAAATTTGAGGTTAGAAATATAAAAAAAGTCTTTAATGCTTCCTACATGAAGTAGGACCTAAGTTGCTGTTCAGGCTCCCTTTTAAGTTTAAAAAAGGGCTGCAGAAGTGTAGTTATGTTTCTGACAATCACAATACTAAGTGGAAGCAATTTGCAGTGAAGTATCTTACCTCCTGTGGCTGTATCTCAGACTTCATAAGCTCCATAATGGATTCTAGAGAAAGGATGTTAAAGTTTGTTTGAACTGATCAAATGCAGAAAGGCAGACCAAACAGTAGCATGTCTTCAATTCTATTTAAATAGTAGTGGCAACTGCTAAACCAGATATTCTGAAAGCTCAGCTAATCATTCAACATGCTATTTTTAGACAAGTGTTTATTTTCTAATTTGGTTTTAGATTTTCAGAAGTTCAGAGTTAAGCAATAAAAAACACTTTGGATATTGTTATATGTAACATTCCCTATACCAGACAATTTTCACATCTTCCAGATGGAGGCTTGCTCAGAATGCAGAGATCCTCTTACTAGGAATCACTTTTTTCCCCCTATGGTATTAGCCAGAGCAGGGCTGAAAGCATTGCAAGTTCCACTTCAGTTACTAGGCTGCAAGTAAGCTACAGTACAGGATTAGCTTTAGCATCAAGCCATGCAAGTCAATGCTCAGTTCAAGCTTATCCCAATGTTATGCTATAGAAATTCCACCTGGTTCTTTGACAGACTCTCCTTTTGACATCTGTCTTGTTCTCTCAGATTTTCTATTTACTTCTTCCAATTCTTTTACTGGCACAGTGGCACGAGGAGTCGGAATACTTTCAAAGTAGCCAGAGTCTAGGAGTTTGGATAACAGGTCCTTCATATGTTTATCTGCAGAGTAAAAAAAAATCCATGAAGTTAGGATACAAAAAATTCCAGTGAGGGAGTATCCAGATCACAGATCAAGGCTCCTTACTTCCTCCCTTGATATAAACTTCAACTTCTCCAAGTTTACACATGAGTTACAGCACTGAAGTCTTTTAGTAAAGTATTTGCTAAACTTCTTTATATATTACAGCTAAAGATATCTTTGCAATCCAGTGGTAAGACTGTAGCTTGTGTTTAAATGCACACAAGGCAAAATGCCTAGGAGCCACCTGGTCCCCAGCACGCTTAGAAAGGGATTTATTTACCATCATAAACTAGCCAGCATTGATACTATGTAGGTAAAGCTAAACAAAGTCACTATGGAACTGCTCTACAAGACCCTCCTCCCAGTGGTAGGATGGTAAGTCTCCAAAGGGAGAATTAAGAACTACAAGCAAATGGGGGGAATAAAGCAAGAGACTGTTCTAGAGTGATCATAATCCTCTGAAATTTGAGAAAAGAAAGTTTTTCTTCAACAATGTGAACTTAGCTGTGTACTCTCCAATAAGCACTGTCTGATTTCTTCCTTTATGCAAAAAGAGACAGTTTAAAGAGCAAGGCCTCAGAAGTAGCAGCGACACTAGAATTCTTTTCAGAGGAGCTAGAAACAGGGCAGCCTTGAGAACAGGAAGAATATTCAGTAAAAAAACCCACTCCTACTAATGAAAAACAACATAAACAAAAATAATAGCTAGAGTTTAATAGAGAGATTAAAAATTGCCATCCAAGGAAATAAATAGTATTAATAAGTCACAACAAAACAGTACCCAAAGTTAATACGATAGCCAAAAAGCTCCAAGAACTGGGAGGCCAAGATAACCAGGCAACTAACAGTTTGCATCAACAGATACAAGGCTGGAGCCACCAGCCTGTAGCTCTACAAGGCCAGCTTGCAGTTTGTCCCGAGCGATATGAAAAGAGTTAGCACTTTGTTGTCAGTTCAGCTATCTGGATGGGGAAATTAGACAGGGTAGTGCTCTCCTCTAACAGTTTCAACAACACTGCTGTCAATGACAAATTAAAGATTACTGCCACACAGCCATCACAAAACTGCAGTGAAAGGACAGGCAAGGTCTGTTTGCAATAGAGAGGACACTATGACTTAAGTAAGGACAGTTTCCTCACAAACAAGTTGTAAATAAGAACACAGAACACTTTTGTTAGCCTACAAGCAGGGTTCCTGAAATTAAAACCCACAGATGGAAGAAAATACAGAGAGTCCCACAGCTCTTGGTGTGCTTGGAAAATGTGGACATTTGCAACAGGTCAAAGCAAGACTGCACTGTGCAGGGTTAGAGATCAGCTCCAGTAGTGACTATCCTTCCTCAGTGTGCTATCCTGCACTGCAGTCAGCCAAAGGGTATAAGCCCAGAATTCCTACAAGAGAATCTTCAACACTGAGACCTTCAGCCTGGGGCCACTGGAGCTCTGCAATATGCACCAGTATACTCAACTAAGCATTCCATGGCTGGCAACAGCATTCCAGTCTTAACCCATTTGCTCATAACTACCCAAAGAGCTTCCTGCTGCAAGTTCTGTAATTTATTCATGCATCTGCTTTTGAATTTCTACCATCACTGTCCGTCGAAAAGGTGGTAGTACACTGGTAAAACATGCTTTGACTTACTGTACTGTTACTCATCTGAACTTAGAACAAACAGCAGTTCATCCTTGGTAACTGAGTTACAGCATTTGCTAAGTGCTTAATTTAGTAGTCTTCCATGTATATTCATTTAAGATGTTTAAATAGAACACAAATTTCAGATCTCCAAGTTATTCCTCTAGATGAGACTCACATGTTGTTCCAACCACAGGTTTCTCACTTCCTTCTAGAAGGTCCCAAAAGTAGAGAGATGATTGTTCCATCTGGTCTTCAACACTAAAACAAATGACAGTTTTACCAGATAATCATAGCCAGAATCAGGTCTCATAATATCCCAGCACCCCTCATTAAGACACTGACTAATGTTTAGCCTTCCAAATTAAAGCTGTATACATAGGGTGAATCCTAAGGCCATTATCCACTACTGAAAGGATTCATCTGTATATGATTTAATCTAGAAAATAAGGGTTTTTTTGTAATTAAGACATATTAGAGAGTCCAGACTTATCCCACAAGACCATATGGCTGACTTCATTCCAGAAAATGATTGCTATTTAATCAGCTGATCACCTTGATTATTGATGCACATGTAGAGGGGCAACCAAACCTCACCATAACTAGCGAGTGACAGGAGAAACTTTGACATAGGCCCATGATCCACCCCACCATCCCCACACAATGGATTTTAAAGTGCATCATGATGAAATTTAGCATCCCAAAGGAAGGTATTATGCTTCTTTTGAAAGTGTAATAGCATGAAGATAAGCCAAGAATAGTTATTTCACTGGGATGAGAAACTCATTATGTGGCTTTCTGTAAGTAGCTGTTCTTTAGAGGTTAACTTTTAAGAGAAAAGATTAGGCAAGGTTAGCCTATGACAAGTGATTACAAGTTTTAGGAACTTAGTCATGTTTGACTATGGAAATAATTACTCCTCTCCACAGTTTTAACTTGGCACTCAACTGCTTTTTCTGTATTTAAATATGATTCTTACTACACTACCATAAAAACAGCCATGCTGCCTGTCCTGCTAAACATCACAAGCCATAACACAAGCATGATGCCAAATCTGCTACATCTGCTGACAACCTGTTACCTTCATGTCTGACATTACTGCAAAGGTACCAAAGACTTCAGTTGAGTTTTTAGAACTCCTTTGAAGCCAATAGCAAGAGCACCTCAAGACTACTATCCTACACTCCTTTGGAATGAAGCAGCACACCTGGATCATCATGCAAATGGAATATGGAACAGTTCTCCTGTCTTTACAGCCCTTTTTTCCCTCCCCCCATGTGATTAACAGTGGGACCTCAGGGAAGCAGCACACCAGCCTCCTCGCTCATGATGGCATTGGACTGTTTCCCCTCAACCCCACAGACAGAAGAAAGCAGGGGTTGTGTGCAACTTGCACCACCTCTATGATGAAAGGCTGAGAGAATTGTGATTGTTCAGCCTGGAGAGGAGAAGGCTCCAGGGAGACGTTACAGCACCTTCCAGTACCTGAAAGGGCTACAAGGAAGCTGGGGGGGACTTTTTACAAGTGCCTGTAGTGACAGGACAAGGGATAACGGGTTTAAATTAAAAGTGGGGAGGTTTAGATTAGATATCAGGAAGAAGTTCTTCACGGAGAGGGTGGGGAGGCACTGGGACAGGTTGCCCAGAGAAGCTGTGGATGCCCCATCCCTCGAAGTGTTCAAGGCCAGGCTGGATGAGGCTTTGAGCAACCTGGCCTAGCAGAAGGTGTCCCTGCCCATGGCAGGGGGGTTGGAACTGGATGGTCTGTAAGGTCCCTTCCAACCCAAACCATTCTGTGATTCTATAAACTCGAGCTGTAATTACTGCAGCTTTCCTTTAATGCTCAGAGGTACATCTGCTATATTCCTAGTCTCAGACTACAGCAAGTCTATTTTAATAGAATTTTAATTAGTGTCCCAAAACAAATTTCAGGACATGGCAGTGTCAAGCAGAGGACACCTAAAGTAATGAATGAAGCATACCAATTAGACAAAAGGCTTGAACTTACCTCAAGTTCTCATTTCTTTCTGGACATGTCAGCTTTGCAAATCGTATGAGGTAGTCTAGTTCTTTAGAAGGCAAGTATATTGCACCATTCACACCACCTTTAAAATCTTTCTGAACATGCTCTTGAGTGAAGTTCTGCAGCACATACTGGACTTGAAGTATTGTACGCAGTTTCTTCTTCTCTGCTTCAAGCTTCAATAGGCTCTCCCTTCGCTGAGCCTTCCTCTGTGCTTTCAGCAGCTATTTCAATAAACAGATTCACCAGTTAAACACAATGGCTTAGTAACAGGATTCCAGGCTAAAACACATCAAGATCTAGTATTGATCATCCTACACTGATCAAAATAGCTATTAACTTCTGTTAGACAACAGAAGCTCCCAATTCTCTCTTCAGACACCCAAGATCTTTCAAAGCTCCTCCTACATATCTACCATTTAGTCAAACTGGATACCAATAGCTTCACCTAAGATGCCTTTATGATATTTACATCCTGGTTATGCCTGCTAGTTGCTTTATTGTAACAGCTTCCACAACTGAATATAAGGAATTGTTATGAGTGCACAAATCCAAGTTTAGCTGGCCTTTAACATTTGTCACATCAAGTCAGCAATGCAGTTGTCTCAAGTTTTCCTTAGCGAGATAACTTCACTTTTGATCACCGATTTGAAAGATACAGCAGAATCCTACAGTTACTGACTTCTGCTGACAGAAGACTGAAGCACTCATTAAATAAGCAACACCACAAGTCACAGAACATACACAGCCCCCATGCATTTGAGGAGGAATTTCTCCTAATGTACAAATAGAATCACACAGCAAAAGATACCCAAATAAATGCAGAATTTAAAATTCCTCAATATGGGGTTTCTTTGCAAGATCTATGAAAATTTAGTTTTCTAGAACACACTGTAAAGGATAAGGATGTTGTTGCCAGAATGGGTCCTAGTAACAGGTACTGGCCGTAGAACTCATACTGGTAGAAGTAGACCCAAGGAAAAAAAACCAAGTGGGTTAGCCTTTAAATACAGCGTAAGTTCAAGAACAAAGATGAACTGGTAGAACACCGGATTACTAAAAACACCTACAGAAAGATACACTGACTCACAATCCATCTCTGATACTTTTTAAGGGCAGCTACAGTGGAAAGCAGCATGAAGCTATCCAAGTTTTGACATTCAGCACAGTAGTTTCTATGTTCAGTACAGAACAACTGAAGGAACCCAAAGCAGCAATATTGCTGAACAGGCTTTTAAATCTCTGCTCATACAGTGCTTTGATGATTTACTGCGCTACCTGGAATTACTACATATACAAGAAAAGCCTCTCTAGCAAAATTGCTTGGGTCCCAGTCAACACCAAGACAAGGCATTTCACCAGTCCTTCAGCATTCTGTAATAGGCAGAGAAATAATGCCAGAGCAGTGACTAATCATGTTTAGCATCCCCAACGTCACCTTGGATCAGATCTTCTCATAAGGATAGTGTTTGAGCCAAGAGACCAGTTTCTCCAAGGAAAGAACACTTGCTTACATAAAAATAATGTATGTAGTGCTTTACACCCTGAATAAAGGCCTAAATAAAGCACTACATCTGTCACTTGCCATAATTAGAAGCAACTACATCAGAATAAGTAGCAAACTCCACAAGCTTCAGTAAAGTTTTACTGAGAACTGTACTTGTCCCTGAAACCAAAGTGATTTAGTCCCAGCACTTCCCCTCACTGGTAACAAAGCATTCAGTTTGGAAGAGATCTTGGCATGTCACCTACCCCAACCTCCAGAACAAAGGCTGCACTGAATCAAGACTAGATTGCGTAGATCTTTGTGCAGTCTGTATTAAAGAGATCCAAGGACAGCTTTCACTGCTTCTCTAGGTAGCCTGCTGTAGTGCACAATTATCCTCAGGGTGACCATTTTCCTATCTAGATGGAACCTTCTATTTCCATTTATGTTCATTCCTTCTCCTACCACATCTCAGCAAAAAGCCTGGCTCATCCTTTCAGTAATCTCTTTGGTACTGGAAGACTAATACTACACCTCCTGCCAAATCTTCACTCCACCAGGGCCAACAAGCCCAGCTCTTCCAGGCTGCCTCCCAGGTCTCATGCTCCAGCCCCCAGCCATCTGGAAGCTCACCACTGGACTCAGTGAAGTTTATCTACAGCCTTTGTCTACAAAGTGACCAGAACTAGACACAATTGATTAACAAGTACCAAAAGAAGCAGTTCTCCTTAACCTCTGGGTCCTCAGTTGAAGTCTAGCCTACACTGCTGCCCACAAGGACCTGTATATGCCCTCTCCAGCAGAGCTGCTCCCTCACCAGTCTGCACCTATGCAGGGGAAAGTCCATCTCAGGCACAAGCTACCAGCAAGGCAGTTACCAGTTTCAAACATAATAAACTGGAGTCATCTCAAACACAGCTGAGTTCCAATGACTCAATTTACTTAAGCACAAGTTCTGCTCTACTCCCTGCTCCAGACAGTTTAAGCACCTTGTTTCCCCTAGTTCCAAGACAGAAACCTCCTGGTATTCTGCACATTGACATACAAGTGTAGCCATTAGAAGAGCAGCACAAACTTTGCAGTTACCTCCTGAAAATACAGGGAAGAGTGTTTTATACTTACATCTTGGCTGAGTCCTGAAAAAGTCTTCTGAAGCTCCTTGGCAAATTCCAAGTTGTGTACTACTTCATCATATTTCTCTACTGCCTCCTACAAAGGAATACACACAATATTTTTCCCACACTTAAGACAGCTGGTTGCATCTCAATCCCATTGTACTTCAGTTCTCACTGCAAACTATTTAGCACATACCTCTCTGAAATTGTAACCCTTTTAAAGTTACTGTATCTGTAACTGGTACTTCAAATTTTGTCATGAATGTCATTCACCCATGACTGTCTGAGATGCAGTACAAAGCCAGCTCACCCCACCACACGGTTATTCTACAAGTTTGTATTAGAATTTCCAGGCAATATCTTGTGCAATATTTGGAATACTGTTGTTGAAACAGGAAAGCCTGGATACCATTTATTTTGTTTTCCCTTTTGTTCCCGCAGGCCTCGGAGGTAAACAGCTACTTAAAATCAGATATCAATGTGGAAGACTGGAGAGAATACAGGACACAAGTTCAGCACAGACCTTTTACCCCAGTGCTTAGCTGAACACCTTTACAGGTAGTTTGTACAAACTTCAGAAAAACAAGAGAAAGGCAAGTCACATGTTTGGAAAGAAGTCCTCCAAATTTAGTTTCCACAAATAAAGCAGTGTTTCAGCCTTCAGTAATGGCTTTAATCAATATTTTACTAGCCAGTCTTTAAAAAGACTACTTGAAGTGGATTATTAATTGCATTTTGATACACCCGATTTTTTACAAGTTCTTCCCCACTGAGGCATCAGTTTGTTTTGATAAGTTTCCTTGACAGCTCTGAAGATCGCAAAATGCTGTAGTTCTAACATGATGTCCATGTCCTCCTATCGTAAGGCATGCCAGGAAATACCAAGTTCAGTTTCATTTCAGTTGTTCACATGTGCTTTACACCCAAGTTTGGTTTATGCTCATGGCATTGTCAGAAGCTTTCCTAGAATGGGCCCATCAGTCTAATACAAAGCTCTTTCAAAGTCGTGTTAATGTTAAGTGTTTCATCAGTGCACTGACAAAAGCTTCATCTAGTGTCTCAATAAGGTCTGGGCCATGAACAAATCCCATGTGTTCCTAAGCAACTGGAAACCAAGTTACACATTCATTTGTTCAATCAACTTGTTTGTTCTGTTGCTCGTATCCACCTATTAGTAGTATATGGGACATTACCAGGCCTACACACTACTCATCACAATGAAGTGCCTGAGCTACTGGAAAGCACTCCTCTGGCAGTTTAAGTTGCCCTCACACAATTTAACAAGCAACTTTTAAGAACTAATTAGCAAGTTCACACTTGGGAGAACAACTTCTAGTCCCTCATGCCCACAGATCTGAGGAAGACTCACAATTTAAACACCCAGATTGCAGCAATTGTGCTTTTAACCATGCAAATTCCAGAGTAAAACTCCCTACTGGAAAACAGAGAACAGTTACCACTGCTCTGATGACAAGCTGTAAATCAGCCTGCAGGAAACAGCTTGGCCACACCTGTTATTAACACTCATTAACAGCATGTTGGAATAACACAACTGAGGGAAGCCTGCTCAGCTTGCAAAACAGCACAATATTGACAGACAGAGCAGTTAACTTGCTGGAAGCTCCTCAGTTTTGAAACAAATGTTTCCTAAAGGAAGGCTAGCACACACAGTAGCTCTGGCAAGCATGTAACATAAGTAACTACAGTTCAATCCAAATTGCTTGCAAGACAAGTCCATCACCAGCTGTGCACTTCTTCCTCTGGGTGAAAAACAATGAAAAATATAGATGACATCAAGTTACACTGGAGCTCCACTGCATTACAGGCAGTTAGGTTTATTTAGGCAAGTGTCCAAGCTATTAAGCTCTGCTCTAGCTATAATCACCAGGTCCCAGCATTTGTGAGTTTGCATCCAAAAGGTACAAGTGTAGTATTTAAGTATATTTAACCACTGAAATAGGAATCTTTACTAGATTACTAAATACTGAGTTGATAGATAATTCTACAGAAGTCATCTGAGCAGTCTGACTACCAGTGGGGTCACAGTTCACTACCAAGACTCAATCTAATTCCCCATTTTAGAAGCCTGAGGTATCCCAGAAGCCAGGGTCAAAATACTAATACTTAAAAAGTTAAGCTCAGGTGAGAATACAGAAAGCCAGTAACCAAGTTAATTGCCATTTTCTAAAGTTAGTGCTGCTGGGCAAGACAAAAGGGTCTCGCCCAGCCGATTCCACATTGAGTTTAGAAGAACTGAAAGGTTATCACCCTACTTCAAACCACCAGATTTAATCCATTTACTTCTGCACTTCAGATGGCAAGAGACTACAGATTTTGGAGTTAAGTGCTAAATGATCATTCAATCCAATAGCTCTACTCTACTTTTAAGTAGCAAGTTATCTTTTTCCCTCCTACCCCTTTATGTCTAGTTCTCACTTACAAATGATTCAGAGTAAGGAAATAGTAGTATTTATGGTCTCATACTGCTGCAGTGACCAAGCTAACAGTCAGTGAAGTAATTTTCCAACTGGTGCATGAGCAGGATCAGCACTATCACTGAGGAGACCTGGTACCCTTTAACACAAGCTGAAGAATAGTTGTGTGATAAGTACATATTAAAAACATACTTAACATTTTTACATCAGGTGACTAGAGCAGCAAACCCCTTGGATTATGTGTGACTGCTCCTCAATGTGTTACAGAAACTTTGTTTCAGTTCTAAAATCCATTCTAGTCCAAGACAAAAAAAGCCAGAACCACTGTTTTGACATTAGGCAAGTTGAAGCTAGCTCCAATGGTAAGGGGATACCATTTGTTGAGTAGTGACCTTGCACCCAGCATTCCAAACTCTAGCACTCTTAGAACAACATGGCTAGTTTGTACCTAACAGGATTTGAGAGCACTGGCAACTCCCAGCCATCTAATGGCAGCACAGGAAGTTGGGAATCCTCTCCTGTCCTAAGTCAGTAACAGTTAGATTCTTGTACTAGGGAAGCCTTTAAACCCCATGCAAGTTAAACAAGCATCTTCCTTTCCACAGTACCAACAATGCACTGCCTGGAACCAACAGCAGCCAACAGCCAATTTCAAGTAACACCTGTTAACGAAGAAGTCCTGCAGATTAGCTACCCCAGAAACCTTGGTTTGGGTTCTAACACTGCAATGCCATGTAGATAAGCTGCATACGGACACCTCGTCAAGAAATAAATGTGCAGGAGCACTAAAGCTGATAGTCTTCAAAGATGAAGGACCTTCTATTACTTCAGTACACAACACTAGGTAGGAGACTTAAAGCTTGTGGGCTCACCATTCACCTTAATTACAACTAATTCATTCATTTGGTTTTGTGAAAAACACCATAGAGTAAGCCTGAAAGCATAAGTGCTGTAAGACTACACCACCACCTCCTTCACCCCCCTTCTGACATATCTGAAGGTTTTGATGCCATCCACTCCTGCATAAAAGCAAACTTACCAATTGGTCTTGATTAAGGGCTTCTCCCTTCTTCAGGCGATCTTTGTAGTCTTCTAGTTTCAGCTGTACAAAAATCCAAAGTAAATTTTTTACATTGATTTCTGTCATATACAGGGCACAAGTGAAGTTGCATATTCTGTCTGTATTTTAAGTCATCCACATACTGCAACAGGATAGAAGATTCATTACTTCCTCTCGTTTTCAAGAGAAATTGCTATGCCTGTGATTTTGCCATCTCAGTCCCCAGGGCTGCCTACTTCCCTTTCCCATCTTTGATCTTCCACTTCTTACTTGCTACCTTTATTTCACTTAAGAAATACTAATGCACTGACCCTAGATCTTTAAGGGGCTCCAAACACATCCAGTGTTCTTATACTGAATCAGGCTTTTTTAGCTTTTCCAAGTTAATGCTGGATTTCAGTTATCCTTGAATAGTCCTACTTAATTTTCCAGATCATATCTTTCAAAATCTGCCTTCAGTTATAGGAAATAGTGCCACAAAATCTTGATAAGAAAGTAGACTAATGTCTGTATGGAAGAAATAAGATTCAGTTCCAATATACTGAAACAGTCTTTAAAAGCTGACATAACTACACAAAACTAAGCTATTGGGTATTACAAGCTTCTTTATACAAGCAGGGAAAAGAAAGGGGAATTCACTGCCATGAAGGTGAATACTGTTTCAGTTGTGTACCTACCCACATCAGGTTTTACTGACAGTACCTACAGAAGCCTAGGACTAGAAACACTTTCTACTCATTTTAGTAGGTCACTCAATTGCTAGTGGGGCCATATTGTTATTCACACGAAAATCAAATATATTGGAGAAATTCACAACAATAAGCTTCCCTGGACAGAATTAGAATGCGACACACAAGTTGGTTGATTACACAAAAACCACATGCTTATCAACAAGATCCAGAATTACAGCATGATGCATGACATGAGACAGCAGTAATACTGCATCTCCTGCAGGAGGATCTAGTCCCCCAGCCACATGGCCAGAGGTCTGATTTACTCTCTCTCCTCACCTTAAGACATAAAGCTTTTCAGACATTTGGAGAAGCACACCACATTCATCCAATTACTTTACTTGCAATCCTGATCCAGTACAGAAAGCAGCAGCACCATTATTTCTTTTATGTTACAGAAAATAGCATTTTCCCTATTAAACATGAGGCACATGGCCTTCAGGCACCAGCCACTTAACTGGGAAGTTTTAGAATGCAAAAGCCTGACCAGCTACGGTCACAATATTTTCAGTGTTAGTAAAAACTGAGATAACAAAACACTATTCTGTCCTCTCCACCCTAGAAAAGCACAGCTCAAAGCAAGAGAGGAGGCTTTCTGCATAAAAGCTTTCTAGTGAATAACATTTGCCTATATTTAAAAATATAGAAGTCAAAGATCTACGCAAAGTGAAGGGCAATACATATTTAATATGAATTGACATTTCCATGAGTCAGAGGAAACTATTCCTAATTTCCAATTTCACATACATCTCTGCACCCTAGTATTAGATACATGTAACTGAATATGAAGGTTTCTGCAAGACTACAAGCCATCTCCAAATCAGTGTCAAGTTAGTTTTGAGTTGATACAGCCTATTAAATAAACATCCCCAGTTTTGATCAACATTCCATCGCTTTTGCTAACTATCAGCCAGCCACACACTGTAAAGCCAGCAGCCAAGAGCAGGTTTACAGTCAGCTGCATTCCTGATTCGATGTTATGCTCACACAGTGTCAAATGCAAGTACCCCATTTCAGAACAGCAAGAGTAAAGACCACCATTCTTTACCATACAGAGGTTGTAATGATAACGAAAAGCCACTAGCAAAGCCCTATTTAAGTCCTTCCACGGGTTATTTTAAAAAAAATTTCTCACCACATACACACAACCTTATCCCAGCTATTGTAAAACAGGCACCAAGTTTTCCAATTAACAGTTTAAGTATGTGCCATACAGAAGAAAAACAAGTTACCTTCTTTTTTTCAATGTTCCTGATCTTGTGTTTGAGGCAGATAAGCCCATTATCAATGTAAGTCTCATACGCCTGGGAAGGAGAGGCCACCGAGTTCAGCGCAGACTGCAAGGGGCTGGGGGGAGGTTGGCCCTCCCCAGACAGGTTCACCTGCTGCTTGGCTGCCTTCATGCTCTTCTCCTCTGCCTCCTCTGACCCGCCTGAAGGTGATGGGCGACGGAAAGGGGCTTGGGAAAGCTGCACCATTGAAATAGATGGAGCTGCAAAGAAACTCCTTTTATTTAGCTCTCAACCACACACTCACCCCTCCCTTTTTTTTTTAGTTATATCTTTTCTTATCACACATTCAGAATGCGTAGCCACAAAACTGAGCCTCAGTCAGAATTTATCACAGCCTGTCCACCTAAAAAAAAAGCAGGAATTTCAAAGCAAGGCAAACTTTGCATTGTTCAAGTCTCCCCACCCATCCAGACGCCAGAAATCCTTTACATAGGCAGAATTCGACAGCAGAGGGGATGATTCCAGAAACCCGATATAGCGTCCATATAAAACTAGGCGGGTTTCCTGCACACATCACCCACAAGGGAAAAAACTGCAAGCAAGCAATTGCAAATCACGCCGCCAGCCTCGCATCCAGGCTGCGGGCAGAATGAAGGCTCAGAGGCAGCATGGCTGAAGGTACAGCCCCTCTTCTCACCCCCTTTAAAGCAGTTTTACCCCCTTCCGCGACCTTTGCAGCAACCCAACCGAGAATTTAAAGTATTCCAACTGAAAAAGTGAAGAGGAATAAAAATTGCTTAGAATGTGCTTGACAAGGCCAGCGGCACACTCCGTCAGGACTGCATCATTCCTCACGAGGGGCTGGTCTCTCCCTACACCCATCCAAAGGATGTGCTCGTCGTGCCATGGCACGACACCAGCTCCGATGGGAGGGGCTGGGCCGTAACCTTGAACGGAGACTGTCTCCAACAGATGCTCCGCCACCCTCATCTCCAACTACTTACACCTGCTCCTGGCAAGCAATGACACCACATTTCCGCCGCCCTGCCGCCGGGGAGGCCCGCGGCCCC